AGGCCTTGGAGGAGGAGGAGGCTCCGTTAGTCCTCTAAGGAGGAGGAGGAGACTCTGTAAGGCCTCGAAGGAGGAGGAGACTCTGCAAGGCCTCGGAGGAGGAGGAGGAGGCTCCGTAATGCCTCGGAGGAGGAGGAGGCTCTGTAAGGCCTCGAAGGAGGAGGAGGAGACTCTGTAAGGCCTCGGAGGAGGAGGAGGCTCTGTAAGGCCTCGAAGGAGGAGGAGGAGACTCTGTAAGGCCTCGGAGGAGGAGGAGGCTCTGGAAGGCCTCGGATAAGGAGGAGGAAGCTCTGTTAGTCCTCGAAGGAGGAGGAGACTCGGTAAGGCCTCAGAGGAGGAGGAGGAGTCTCCGGAAGGCCGAGGAGGAGGAGGAGTCTCCGGAAGGCCGAGGAGGAGGAGGAGGAGTCTCCGGAAGGCCGAGGAGGAGGAGGAGGAGTCTCCAGAAGGCCGAGGAGGAGGAGGAGGAGTCTCCGGAAGGCCGAGGAGGAGAAGTCTCCGGAAGGCCGAGGAGGAGGAGGAGTCTCCGGAAGACCCGAGGAGGAGGAGGAGTCTACGGAAGGCCGAGGAGGAGGAGGAGAAGGGGTCTCCGGAAGGCCGAGGAGGAGGAGCTGGAGTCTCCGGAAGGCCGAGGAGGAGGAGGAGGAGTCTCCGGAAGGCCGAGGGGAGGTGGAGGAGTCTCCGGAAGGCCGAGGAGGAGGAGGAGGAGTTTCCGGAAGGCCGAGGAGGAGGAGGAGGAGTCTCCGGAAGGCCGAGGAGGAGGAGGAGTCTCCGGAAGGCCGAGGAGGAGGAGAAGGAGTCTCCGGAAGGCCGAGGAGGAGGAGGAGTATCTGGAAGGCCGAGGAGGAGGAGTCTCCGGAAGGCCGAGGAGATGGAGGAGGAGTCTCCGGATGGCCGAGGAGGAGGAGGAGTCGTCTCCGGAAGGCGGAGGAGGAGGAGGAGGAGGAGTCTCCGGAAGGCCGAGGAGGAGGAGGAGGAGTCTCCGGAAGGCCGAGGAGGAGGAGGAGGAGTCTCCGGAAGGCTGAGGAGGAGGAGGAGGAGTCTCCGGAAGGCCTCTATGGAGGAGGAGGCTTTTTAATGCTGTTGTTTATAAAATAGTTTTTTTTAATTTCAAATAGAGGAGATTGAAAAATGGCTATTCTAATCTTGAGGGAGGGGTGTAACAAATGATGAAGTTGGAAAGATGGGGTTCCTATCAAGAGGCTAAGATGACATACATCTCTCATACTGGTAGTTAGATTGCACTCACCCATCTGTTCCTAATGTTCTGTCCCCTAGGAATGCCTCTCCCATAAGAGTGATCCATGATCCAATGATGCAGTCAGAAGTCTCTGCTTGAATCCATCAACATCTCTCCTGAATCCTGCTTGACATCTAAACTGATCAGACTCAAACAACAAGTTAGACACTGAATAGATGATGCAGGTTTCAAAGAGCCAACTAGGATGGACAGTCATCTTTCATTAGCATTTAATTGCCATCAATGCACCATTTTCTCTTTCCCTAAAATAACCAAAATGTTTCCATACCCCCGTGTAACACCCAAAACCCCCTGTTACCCCCATGTTACCCCTGCTACCCCCGTGTTACCCCCAATTCCGTTTTTACCCCCCAATACCACATGTTACCCCCAATACCCCTGTGTAACCTCAATACCCTAGCCCTCAATCCCCCTGTTACCCCCATGTTACTCCTATGTTACAACCAATCCCAATGTTACCCCCAATGCCCCTGTTACCCCCATGTTACTCCTATGTTACAACCAATCCCCATGTTACCCCCAATGCCCCTGTTACCCCCATGTTACTCCAATCCCCCTGTTACCCCCATGTTACCCCAATCACCCTGTTACCCCCATGTTACCCAAATATCCCCTGTTACCCCCCACGTTACTCCATGTCACCCCCTTGTTACCCCAGTCCCCCCGTTACCCCCTTCCATAACACAAACCCATCACATGTTTGACAAGTCTGATTACTAAAACCTTGGGAGAATTGTGTTTGGATATATACAAATTACTTTAATGCTATGTCTGAGAAAATACTTGTATGGTTGGGAATATCTACTATTTGAAGAAAAAGATTAGCATATATAAGAGAGAAAAGATGAAAGGATGGATGGAAATAACCTAGATGGAAATGAAAATATATTATAAACAGAAATCAGACCCCACCCAGCCCCCCCCCCCCAAAAAAAAAAAAACAACAAGAACATGATCTTCTAAATGAATACTTCCAAGAAGGGAACATTGATCTATTTCTAACTCTAGTGACTATTGTTCCAATTATGTTTCAAATTTTTGTTGATAAAAAAAAATATGTATATCAATTATAGCACTTTCTGTAGATATAATAGCACAACACAATCACTATTATTGTGCACTACACAATGTATGCACCATCTCTGCTCCCTTGGGAGTGTTTGATATGCATGACAGAAAGGAGCTCCATGTATGTTAAAGAGCTAGTGCTATTAAAATATTCCATCTTATAATTATTATCATCATTGCTGTTTATGAGGAGGCGCGATAGCTCTGTTGGGCCGAGCAGTGCATGGTCTCGTAATCTGGTGACCCGGGTTCAAAATCAATTTGATGCGCTAAAGTGCCCTCTGGTATTGGTAAGGCATTAACCCTCATTACCAGGTCCCTCGGAGTGGACCTAAAGCCGTCAGTCCTCTGGTTGCTTACTAACAAGCATTTATGCTTTCTTAGCAGTCAGGTAAAATAACCACCACTAAACTAAATTATGCACACACTGGTGAGGGGTAATCAAAACATTACATTTGGTGTAGTCCACATATAGCTGGCTACTACTTGGCATGGGTGAAATTACCTCATGCCAGTTGCATGCTGTACAGCCAAATTTGAGAGTACTGTAATGTCAATGACCATTCCTTATTCTTTTTTGCAAGTCAAACTTGATTGGGGTAAAACACTTAATCTATGTAGCTTTGCAGGAAGGTGTTTCTGGCATGAAGGTGTTTCTGGCATGCAGGCATGCGGCCATGTTTGCTTTGAACAGGCAACCTCATCCAAATTGATGAAGCATTCTATATAGCATCTTTGAAACCTCAGAAAGATGCTTATAATCATCACCTCTCAAATTCCAGAAAGAAGTTTTTTCCTGAAACAATATGGGACCTAGCTCTTAATCAACATCATTTGGATATTAAGATCTGATTCTTAATCAGCAAAGTAAACATTAACCTCAATTTGGGGTTATGCCCTGCCAGTCATAAGATTGTCTAGTCATACAGATGAAAGGCTACAGGGTACGCTGGTCCTAACTGTCATTATTCATAAAAATGTGTTAAGAATTCAAATAATTTATCCTTGAAACTAAAAAGAAAATTAGGACATGTCTTGTCCTTCCAGAGAACATCAAGGAATTTTCCCACAAAAATCAGCAAAGTCTGAATGAGAAAAAAACCTGAGAATATTCCTGAGTGAAATAGCTGTGAGTCAAGAACATGGGAGTATTATGTGAATCAGAGGTCAAATAATCTCTCAGACAATGCATAATTGCACTGTCTTCTAAAACTCCTGTTTTACTTCAGAGACTAGACAAAGACAAGAAAGTTTTGTTTTTGCAAAAACAGTAGGAGCTGTAAAAATGCTGACCTAGATGACAATGACGGTCGATGTACGTATCATACATAATATTCATCACAATGAAGTTGGAATGATGTGGCAGGAGAGTCAGTCACATTGATGTGATTAAAAAATGACAAGAAGGAATTACTGTGCTTCTAATAGCTCCCATTTATTATTATTATTATCATTAAGTATTTTGCGTCACCTGTGCCTGGGAGGCGAAAAGCGAACTGAATCACTGTAACCCTCGGATCTCTCCTCCGGTATAACCGATTGGGGGTGTGTAGGTGGATCACTACACCAGGGTTTTCCCCTACTCTTATACGAATAGTGCAGTGGGTTCTTAACGTGCAAAGGTGGTGATTCTCCTCTACACAGGGGCTCCATTTAACGTCCTATCTGAGGGACAGAGTGTTTTCCACTTAACACAGCAACAATGGGAGGGGCACGTTAACACACAATGCAGGCTTCAGTCATCCGCCTGGGTTGGATTTGAACCCAAGATCTTTGGTTCGACAGGCAGACACTTTACCGACTGAGCCAACTCGCCTCCTTGGGGGAACATATCAAGCATATATGACCCATCCTATTTTGAAGCTTTTGTCAGAATAACATATATATTTCAGTCAAGCATTATGAACAAATTGAAATTAATATTCAAAAAATTGCAATGTGGATGCTTTTGATAGAGGAAGAAAAAGTGGGAGTTCTATCTATTAAATGCCATTTCTGTTGGCATAAATCATTGCAATAGAAAAGGCAGTGGTTTCAGACTGGTCTCCTAGCATACATGCATTACAGATTGTTGGTATCAATGACCACTAAACATCATGTACAACAATGTCCTTTGGCAAGACATTGATCTACATTTGCCACACTCAGCCCATGTGATGTAAATGGGTACCTGGAAGGAATTAATTCCTTGAAATGCTAGAGCGTTGTAATGGCAGCCGTGCTAAAGCCAGGGTAATAGTCTCCCTCTGTGCCTTAGAATAGTTTACTAGATTGATGGCGCATAACAAATGCTGTAGTATTATTATACCAGCTCAGGGTAAACTGAAAGTTCAGACATGACGTCAGATGTGATTTACAAGGTGCAACTAAATGACAGTCATACTTCTGATATGATTCTGATATACTCCATCATCGCTTGGCATCAAATACTCAAGCATGAATTGCCCTGAACTGATGAGGTAGCCAAGATTACCATGACAACTGGTACCAATAATAATGATAATTCTTGATAAAGATTTATACATGTATATCAATACAGTCAAATTCATCATCCCTCTTTCATCAAGAGTAAAAAAAATGATGGTGAACTCTTCTAAGATGTTCTACATGTATATGTTACATCTTATAAAGGAGGTGTGGCAAAACTTGGAGGATAGCTGAATATGAAAAGGCTACATCTTTGTGCAAACCAGACTGCATAAAGCAATTGCTTTCATGCCAATCTGGGCTACAGTTCCCACCGCTCCGGGATGGGAGGTCAAACGGAGGGCCAGTACACGAAGGAGCCTTTCTCATGAATTTGTACATGACTTTGTCCATGACTTTGTCCATGACTCTCTGCATTTTGAATCAAGGGTACACATGTAATGCCCTCTATGATTTGGATTCCTTCCACATAGTGACTTAGACACTCTGAAACCAATTAAAAATCCTCTGTGGAATGGAGGAACCAGTAGGGAATTTGGATCAATCTGCCCTTGTTTGGGATATTTATTTTGATCATGGACTTTATTATCATTTTATCCCGTTTTGCTTATTTTCTTAGGTTTAGTTTCTGCCTATATACAAATTGCATTGTTAGAATATAGAATGTTGAATTACAATTATATCAAGAAATGTAGGAATGAAATGTAGAAATGAAATGTAAGAATGACATGACATGAAATGAAATGGTCTGACCTTTGTCATTATAACTAGTCTGGAAAATAGGTAAGAACTTCAACCCCCTCCTATCTTACCCATCATGTTTTACTAATCCTGCTAAACTGTGTCCAATGTGTAATCTATATATTCTAAATATTTCTTATAATTTTGTTCAATTGATAGAGGAAATGTGATCCCATTAAACCCTCCTGTTTTAACTCTCTTCCAATCGTGTCCAATGTGTAATATATAAATCCCAAATAATTTTTTTTTGTACCACTGATAGAGAAAATGTCATTGCATTTGCAGGCATTAATGCTACATAAAAGTATGACTTCCTTACCTCCCGTTGACTCTAAGAACCTGCTTATCATCTACCCAGTGCCAACCTGTTGCGTGAATCATCACAGTTCAGGTGTCAGGTAGGACCCAGAAGAGTAGTTGGTGACTTCAAACACAGACTTCTTTCTGCATCATCATCACATGGATCACACCATGGAAGAGACAACCTTGGAGGAGCAGAAACATGAGGAAGAGATGGGTTTGTGCAATCCTTCTACCAGCAAAGACATGTGTGACCCCTTGGTCTCTAGATAGGATAGGGGTGAGAGAGGGAACGAGGAGGTGTGCCATACGATTGGAAGGGATGAAGGGGGGGGGGGGTCTGGTATGGGAGGAGCAGGAGAGTGTGGTTAGGGAGAGGTTATGGGAGGAATATAAGAATCATGTTCTTGTAAAGGCACTATATAAATACCAATATGTATGTATGTACAGGTGTATGTATGAATGTATGTATTCATTATAAAGAAAAGAAAAGTTATGGGAGGAATATAAGAATCATGTTCTTGTAAAGGCACTATATAAATACCAATATGTATGTATGTACAGGTGTATGTATGAATGTATGTATTCATTATAAAGAAAAGAAAAGGGCCCATTGGGTAGCCAATAATGGCTGCACTTGTGAATCCACATGTATTATGCAAAAGGGGAAAAAGAATTTAAAGCATGAGGCTCTCTAGAAAAAAAATTAAAGTATAGTCACTTTGCCCATATTCATTTCACCAAAAAAGTGTAAAACGATATGTTTCTAATGATTAAAGTTAAACAAATCATGGGATATAAAAATTAAGTTTCCATTACAATGTGTGAGTCAGTTAAAGTAACACAAAAAAAAGTTAAACAAAACCCAGCAGTAGACATGTCCATGCTTTATCCCATCACTGTAAGCTCCCATTTTTTTTACATTTCTTTTATTTTGATATTTTTTTGTATTTTCTGTTAATATCCCACAATGTATAATAATAATAATAAATCAGTGAAAGGCTATCCATGGTGTTTCCCACAGATAGGGCCAGTATTCCATCACAACGTTTATTGAAATGAGGTCTTGCACATATACTTTTTTTTTATAAAGACAACATTTCAATAAATACTCATTCAGTCATCACAAAAAGGATGTGAAATAATGATATATACATACAATATATACTGTTAAACAAATGATGGGAACAGTTAACATTGCAAGAGAAAAAAAATGTGTGAGTGTATATAATGATTAATGAAGTATAACAAGCAAAAATGAACTATAGGATATTGGAAAATGTTTTTTTTTAACCTAATGTACACTTTGCTAAATATGAAAAAGTTCTCTCTTCAATAAAAAAAGAGATACACTGTACATAAACGTGCACCATGTAGTATCAGAGATGCATATATATAAATATGCATGTATATGGAATACTGGCCCCTAAGAAGACACTTGACCCATGCCAAGTTATACAAAAAAAATCATAACAGTGAATATGAAGGAGGCTAGAGCACGGTCCGGAGGCTACGGCCAAGAGGTCATAGTGTAAAAGAACTAAAAAAATCTGTGGGAAACACCATGAATAAACAACATTATCAAATAGAATGAAACGTAAGCTTACATAATAATGATGAATGCTGAGATGAAGTAGTTCTATGTTGATGGTGATGTTGGTGATGGCGACTATGATGACTGGATATGTAGATGTCTGTGTAGATGGCGAAGATGTGTGTAGATGAAGGTGTAGTGGCGAAGAAGAAGACTGGAGATGACGAGAGGAAAGACTGGAAAAGCTCACGATTCAGACGCTGTGAAAGATAAGACATAATTGGAATCAAATTTCAATTCAATACTTTTGACATACTGTACATTTTCTGTTTATACAGTGCGTCCCAGAAAAAACGAAACCGAGAAGTATCGATGTTCTATCATAACTTAATCACAACTATAATTAATGAATGATACATATTTGGAAAGCTTAGGGTCTCCTCTCTCATGTGATGCTACTCAGATGATGCATATTTCACGCATGAGTGATTAAAAGCAATTTGAAGGAAGGAAACCAAAAAGACATTTGGCGGGCAGTATCTGAATTTCGAAGAAAAAATCACATTTCTAGAAAGTTGAGTTTCTGCCCTTTCATATGACACCTCAATCAGGAAAAGTGAGCCAGGAATGACAAAGTTCTGTTTGTTTAAAGTAGTGCTTGCATTTTCATAATTTTATTAAACGAATTCGTTTTCACTGGCTGCCTGCCGTATCAATAAACGAAATTAACAAAAGACTTAACTCCGTTTCGTTGACAATCAGCCGTAGACGAGAGTCTTCATGCATGGCTGATTGTCAACAAAACGGAGTTAAGTCTTTTGTCAAATCTGCTTTTTGCTACGGCAGGCAACCAGTGAAAACGAATTCGTTTGTTAAAATTATGAAAATGTAAGGGCTACTTTAAACAAACAGAACTTTGTTATTTTTCGCTAATTTTTCCTGATTGAGGTGTCATATGAAAGGGCAGAAACTCAACTTTCTAGAAATGTGAATTTTTCTTCGAAATTCAGATACCGCCCGCCAAATGTCTTTTTGGTTTCCTTCCTTCCTTCAAATTGCTTTTAATCACTCATGCGTGAAATATGCATCATCTGAGTAGCATCAACTGAAAGAGGAGACTCTAAGCTTTCCAAATATGTATCATTCATTAATTATGGTTGTGATTAAGTGTTGATAAAAAACAATACTTCTCGGTTTCGTTTTTTCTGGGACGCACTGTATAAACAGAAAAAAGTCATAGTAAAGTTATACCAGTAGGTAGATTATATGATTATTAAATGTAATTTCATGAATCACAACCTTTCTATTACATGTACATGTAGTTTTTATAGAATATTATACAAGCTTTGACCCCAAAACACCCACATTCTCTCAATATCTACATTAAAGATAAAGACTAGTTATGGTCATGCGATTGCATTGTGAAAGAAACGTTGTGGAATCGATCAGAAAAGGTTGATCATCTAGCATATATGTGTACTGCAAGGTTCTGGAATCATCAAACTGATAAGAAATTTGGCCCAGTCTTCGTAAAGTTACAAGCACTGTACACAGAAAGATGTATATGGGACTACGCACACGTGCACGACACGTGCGTTTATCTCTCACAGTCCAATAGATAAACTAATTTACCAAATATATCAATTAGTAGGCGGTTTCCCGGCAATTTTTTTATTATAATGTATTAGTCAAAACATATTTTTTTACATGATTGGTAATTGGGGCAGTTCCAATACTGGTCTTTACCTTTAACAGAATCCCTGACCCTGTCTAAAAGCTGCATTACAATGATTTCAAGTTAACAGTTGTTAATCAAGCCTTGTAAAATCAAGGATATTGGGCTATTTTAAGAGAAATTGTTCCACATTGGAATTAAAAGAATGAGAGAGCTCGTAAATCTTTTTTCACTTCTACCCCAATTCAGTCTTCTTTCATGTTCCTGAAGCTATCAATAAATTAAATTCAATCATCTTCAGACTATTATCCCTTTTACAATAAAATGACAAGCTGATTGTTTTAGTTGAAGCATGATGGAGAGATTTACTCACGTGACCACCGGATCATATGGCAGCCTGTTGTATGAGATCTGTATAAATAAAAAGAGATATAAGTAACATGTGATATTTGAATCTATATCAAACATATTTATGAAAAGTTAGTGTGCAATCAGTAGCATATGTAGCTAAGGCATCTGGGCATGAACCCCAAAATTGTATGTTGCCCCAGGTGCCCCCCCCCCCCATTTGAAATTTTGAAATTTTGTAAGATCGCAATATAACATAATTATCATAATGCGAAGGAAAACTTCAATTCAATTTGATAAATTTTAATTGACAAAAAAACACATTTAATTAAGACATTAAACAGAAAGTAAATATAAAATGGACCGATCATATACAAAGTAGCTAGCATTTGATTAGATAACAAATAAGGTTTCAAGGTGTTTATTGTAATTATTATTCCATTGTTCTCCGAGTCAATGATGTTGTGTACCATACCATAACAAAAATCAAAGAGCATTGTACCGCTAGAAATCATGCACATGCAAGGAAGGACGGTATTAAATAAAACCAACATTTTTCATAAAATTTTGCAAAATGTAAATGTAAATATTTATAATTTTCTTAATAAATATTTATCAGTTGTTCCTCAAAATTGTCAATTTCACTTGTCACTTTATAAATTCTCCTTTTATTTCTACTCATCAAAAATATCAGGGTGGATTTTCCCATTTTATTTCCGTAAGCTTCAATTAGTTTCTGATATTGATGATTGTTCCAAAGAGACTATGTCAGGCTCCACTGACTGCCTCTACACAGAGACTGAAGTCTTGATTGTACTGGTTAGTGAGGGGAGGTTACGCAATGCAGTTTCTGTGTGATTGCCGATATCATTGTGCGCAGTAGCTTCAAGAGAATTACATAATGTACTTGTAGGTTACCTGAAATTAAGTCCTTATTTTTTGATGTTTTACAAATATTTTGGATGTAATTTTATAGAACAGTATTTGAAAATAAGATCTACTTTCTTTCCAATCATTATTTTTTTTCTAAATCAAGCTACATTTAAGTCTAGAAAAACATAAAGCAAACTTGTCACCGGATTCTGGCAAAAAGTGCGGCAAGGTTACCCTTTATGTATGGGGATCAGTTTTATTACACACTTCCGGATCGATCCCCATACCAGACAATCATTTCTGTCCACTTATATTTAGACTATAAATTTTTGTCTCTTTTTGTTCGTTAGCCTCTTATTTGGGTAAGGTCGGCTCCTCTCTTTAATTTTCGGTCTACTTTACATTGATCGAGTTCAGAATTTTCAGATCAAAACAAAATCAACACAGCTATTAATCACACATAGGTGCATTACTATCCTGGCTGTGTAGTAAAAGCTGTGCTTTTGATTCTCAACATTTTAAACACCACTGTACAAAACTCAACTGATTTCACTCAAAATCAGTACTTTAGTGACAATTGATGACATGACTGTGTAGAGTCTATGCAATAATGTGTGGTGTGTATATTTGTGTATAGGTATAATAATACCCGCCTCACAGCAAGCATGCAGTGCTAGAGGTCAATACACATTAGCATTGACTCTCTTAGACTGAAGTACGGCCTATGCCGTACTAGTGGAACAAATGGTTCGGTTCGGCAGGACCGAGATGAATGAGATATGCAACGAGATTTTCACTCTTTACATCCTCATAAATGCACTTTTGCTGCAATATTACAATAGGCTAATAAAACTATAAAAAATAACAAACAAATATGGCTTTGACTTACAATAGCTTGCTCATTTATATCCTAAATTAAAGGTAATACAAAGTTTTGGTATGGGGTCATGAATTTGGTTCAAATGAACATATTAGAAGCATATGCAATCCTACAATATACAGTGATCATTGTCGCGGTCGAAATCAAGTCTAAAATAATAAATTTGTAAATAATAAACTCTTTATGTTGTATAGCTCCCTCTCAAGGTCAAGATATTAATAAAACTATAAAACAATGTTTCTTGACCAAAATCGACCGATTAGCTATTCCCGTTTGGAAATTATACATAACACAACTACATATTCTGAGATTTTCATAGTCGCAGCTACCATTGTACGGCCGTAGGCGCTATTTGAAATTTATCACAATTTACCGGGAGCATCAGTAAATTTTTATATTTGATTTTTCTCGAAGGCAGAAGTGTTTTAGGGGTTAAATTTTCTAGTGCTTATAATACATCCACATAGGCATCCAAATACATCAAAATTGTAAAGAATCACTATCCACCCAATTTAAAAAAATTCCCAAAACTTTGTATTACCTTTAATGATTAATCCGAGAAAGTCTCATAGTCGACATGATTCGTTGTCATCCATCTTTAACGGTTTTAATTAATGAATATTATTTTTTTCTTTTCGAACGTCCAATAGCTACGTACTAGTCAACCTAGTGATATATGAATATTCATAAACCCAATACGAAACGAGTGCTCTGATTGGCCATTCGCTTTGTTTTGGTAGGTACGACCCGGAAATATATCGGCCGGGTGATGTCATAGATTACTAATTTGAATGGATGAACGGTACGTTTCACGGTTCGGAGAAAAAAATTGGATAAATCATATAAGTAAGTCCAAAAATTTCGCATTTGTATGATAGGTCAATTATTATTATTTAGTGTAAATAGGAGTACAATACATAGATCTATAGACCCTAGACCTACTTAATTTATATCTGATTTATAAATCAGAAAATCTAAATCTAAATAGTGAAAATCATATCACCATAATTAAGTGGCAGCTGGATTGGCCAGATTACCCCCACGGTACGAGATCTCTGGGTTACCGTCTGTATATGGGGAATGTCAACAAATGTCAGTTTTATTAAAGAAATGACCCATATCAGACGGTTATTTCTGTCTACGACTCTCTACGCTTTGCTGGACAGGCTGGAGTGGCTTGCTCCTAATCATGAACAGTCAACATCTTTTTTAATTATCATTAATAGCCGAGGATGTCATTTAAGTATAGTCTCTGCTTTCCAGTTTCATACGCCCAAAATAGATCTAGACCTATAAAAAGGCTATAGGGGGCCTACATAAATTATCATGAGCTAAAAAGTAATACTTACTAGGGAACAGGCCTAGCCTAACAAAAAGTTGAACGTATGGGGCTTATCTAAACTTAACTTAAAGAGAGTATCGTCATTGCACGAAGATCATTTCATTCGCTCTGTGATATTTAGACCAATCGAGACAATCACTGTTAACATTATCATTTTAATACATACTATTACAACAAAATTCATAGTAAATTACAATAGACATCATCATAATCTCATCTTCCAAGCACTAGTATTCAATAACTCACCGCAAGCACAGCAGACACAGTTTGCTGGGCCTGCAATACACCAGTTTACAGTTGTGTGCGCCATTTTAAACAAGGCCAATGACCTAGAGGTCATGTATTTATGCGTAAATTAAGATTGCGCCCATGCAAATTATGATGATATCACTGCCTGCGCGCTGCCTTGTGCGCGCATATCATCATTTGCATGGGCGCAATCTTAATTTACGCATAAATACCAGAGGTCAGAGGTTATTGGCCCCAATTTTTGGGCCAATAACCTCTGACCTCTGTCTGCGCATGCGCACTGATACAACTGTAAACTGGTGTCCAGTTTACAGTTGTATCAGTGCGCATGCGCAGACAGAGGTCAAAGGTTATTGGCCCAAAAATTGGGGCCAATAACCTCTGACCTCTGGTATTTATGCGTAAATTAAGATTGCGCCCATGCAAATGATGATATGCGCGCACAACGCAGCGCGCAGGCAGTGATATCATCATAATTTGCATGGGCGCAATCTTAATTTACGCATAAATACATGACCTCTAGGTCATTGGCCTTGTTTAAAATGGCACACACAACTGTAAACTGGTGTATTATATGCGCATGCTCATATCCCAAAACAAAATAGAGCTTGTAATACTAATAGGCCATTTTCGTAATGTAACCAAATTTAATGCATAAGTCTTTGTAAAGTGCCTCAATACAAATTATTTTATTCACCTGATGAGAATAATAATATTTCGATAGAAATAATCCGAACTGCATACATTAGTTGTTGCCTGGTTGGACTTGGTATGAAATAATTTGTATTGAGGCACTTCACAAAGACGTATGCATTAAATTTGGTTACATTACGAAACTGGCCTATTGACTTTTGACACCCTCTGACAATGTAAAAGGTTACGTAATAATTCAAGATTTTTTTTTCAAATTGGAATAAATCAAAGAAAAGCCCATGAAAGATGGACACATGCATGATCATTTCCATGTGTTGGTGCACTCCGCATTCAGTGCGCTTATTACTTTTGTTGTTATTGAATAATATTCAAAATACCCAGTGCATATTTTCTAGTTTGGTGTCTTCTGTATTTAATGCCATTATATTTAAAAGTGTCTTATAAACGGCCTCCCGGCTAGCTGTTGGGAGAATTTTCGGCAAGGGGGTGGGATCGGACTACATATTTTCCAATCAACATTGCCGTTAAATACACTTCGAGCAAATTAAGCAAACACGAATAGTAGCTATATATATAAGCCTAATTTTGTTATTATAAATTGAAAAATTTGGGGTCGTTTGCAGTTGGTCACATCTATTTACATAAAAGGTTGTTGATAAACAAGATAAACGGTGAAGAAGAAACAAAAATTGGTCATAAATCCCCGAGTTAACATCCAGGTTATTTGAAGAAAACTGATTTGCGTTCATCCCGCACTCCCCCCCCCCCAAAAAAAAACCCCACCATAAACACAACTGTAATGAAATCGATGACATGTCCACCATTTAGATTAATGATTATACTTACAATGTTGCATGCAGTAATCATGCAATGCGTAATTGAAAACGAAAATTCCATTACGTTTGCATTGAGCGGCTTTCAATGTGATCGCTAAACAGCGACGGGGTCGGAGATTGATGAAAGCTTCCATTCTGTTTAGAGAATAAATCAAACATTATAATCCGTATGTCATCATCATTTATCAAGTCGCTCTGAGAGAAAACATAATTAGCAAGAGATCAATGTAGGCCTTTATATACTCAGTGACATAATTATATTGTAAACATATCAAAATGAACAACAAAACGTTTTTTCTTTAAAAGTTGAGCTGAATATATATAACGTATAATTTAGTAATTGACTAAAATAAAAAATCTATCTAATTAATTTTTACTTATACACGGTACACTGCAAATTTGTTATGTAACGACTTTACACAACATTGGGTGGTAACCCAGGGGTTGTCTTAAGTTGTGTATAAAAAAATACACAACTTTACACTACAAATTCGTTATGTAAAGTAGTGTATTTTTTTTTACACAACTTAACACTGAACCACGCAATAAAGTGGTTACACAACGAATTTGTAGTGTGGTCTTCCATGATGCCTCGTTTGGTAACAGCAAAATGCAATGACAATCATGAATATAAATCCATAATATCATAACAAAATAAAACACAGAATAAATCATAATGCATGAATACAATTTGTTGGTATCCTTGTAATAAATGTGGACTTTTTAAACAAAAAATACTGTTGCATATATTTGTAATATCGTATTACATGGTAATCTGTTCTTAAATCAAGTGAAATATAATCTTAACTTTTTATACATTTTTTGAATAGCCTCATAAAGTTGTTTCTGAAGCTCATAATTTTTTATAAGCAAAGTAAAAAGACAATCTTGGCTCAACATATAGACTCACATGCACTTGAGATACCAAAAGTTCTATAATATAAAACTTTGGGTATCTCAAGTGTGGATATGCAAATATTACAAGATTGAATTCCTTGTTAGGTAATAAATTTCCGTTGATTTGAATTAAAATAGCATTTGAATATACAAGCTAAATACTAATGAACATAATTATCAATATATTTTAAACTGATAACGAATGATGTCATTGATTTAATTTGAAAAGCTTCATGTTATCCTACATTATGATAACTATGAAGCAAATTCCATCAGGATGAATATGAAAACTGCATGTGCAGTTGGATTGTAAACGCATCACGAAACAATGGTGTGATCAGGCGCGTACGCAGGATTTTTTCAAGGGGGGCGGGGGGGGGTTTAACATTTATAAATCGGGCCGAAAATTTCGCAACGACTCAGCCAGCCGCTGAATAAGCGGGGGGGGGGGGGGGGGGGGGGGGGGGGGGGGTAAGAGGAATTTTTTTTATTTTTTTGGTCCCCAAAAAATCGCAACGACTCAGCCGACCGCTGAATAAGGGGGGGGGGGGGGGGGGGGGGGGGGGGGGGGGGGGGAAGAGGACACTTTTTTTTTTTTTGGCCTCGAAATTTGAAAATTTGACATTTGGCTCCGTTGGGGGGGGGGGGGGGGTAAGGTCACCTTTTTAGGTCAGCCATGGGAATTTTTTTTTTTATAATTAAAAAAAAAATCAAAGGGGGGGGGGGTTTTTAGGGGGTGATGGGGGGGGGGGGTTTACACACATAAAAATACCAAAGGGGGGGGTTAACCCCCCCCCCCCCCCCCCCTGTGTACGCGCCTGGGTGTGATTAACACAAGATAAATGCTTTGAAATATAATGAGAAATAAAAGTAAGAGTTCAAGGAATAGAATCCTCTCGGCATTCAATTTCCCCCCGGTCCCCAACAGAAAAAATCTTCTGTGTGCCCATGTCTTGAGCCATAATGCATGCATGGTCGTACAGAGAATTTTTTTATGTTGGGGACCGGGGTAAAATTCAATGAATTATTGTTCTTCCTTTAAAAATATGATACCTTATCTGCTCAAGAAAGTCAGCAGAGTCTCACATTTTGGCGGGACCTTCAACAGAACGGGATAATTGTTTTCATGTTTAAAGGGCATTTCAATGCTTGCAAAATCTATAATTATGCGTGTTTAGTAAAAACAATAAGAAAATCAGTGTTCTGATTAAAACAAAAGGATGGGACAAACAATAAGAAGATGTCTCTCGAAAACGCTTTTGAGAACAATTGGGGGTATAATTATGTCCACCTTTCCCAACCTAATGATGCTCTTGGTCTATTCAAATGTTTATAAACATTTCCAATCCTTTGATTAAAACTTACACTACTGTACTTTAAAAAAAGATAGATAAAAACTGTTCCAAAACATACGCGGCATCGTCGGCGAAGTTTCTCCGATGTTGGTGGCATATTCTTGTTGGGTGCCTTGTCTTCCTTTTACATCGGTGCCCCTTCTGCGTGTTGCACAGACATCTCAATGCCGCTGGCATCACTCGTGGCATGATGATCTGGAGAAGGGGATGAAGAAACATTAACAACACATTATTAATACATAAATAAAGTATAGACCTCAAATAAGGTTGATGATTATGTTCGATGTGGTCTCTCATTCTATTATTCTAAAGAAACTAATTTGTTCATGTTGGTTTTGATGATTCAAGTTTACGCTTTTTTCATGTGTATCTAACTCCGTCTGAGGATATCATATTTTTTCAGTGAACGGTAATAGTTTGTTAGATTACAGTCACTTGCAGGAGAAGTACAATGGGTCCCTTGCTATTTACTATTTATCATTTTGTATAAATGATATCTCAAATGCTATATACAGTTTAGTACCATTCCACTGTAATACTGATTTTAATACAATTGAGTATGTTTACGTCTCTATGGAGATTTAAAACGGATTTCTAAGCGGATGACGCGCAATGAATTCTTGTCGAATCCTAAGAAATGTGAATTAATTTTCGCTGCAAGGCTTTATAATATAAAGCCTTCACTTTTCCAACCTCATCTTGATTACGGCTCTGTTGTGTGGTTAATGCATGAACAAATTTAGTTCATGTGATGTGTGTTCCACAAAATCGAGCACTTTGCAATTTATTACGAGTTGAACGTAGGTATATTACTGTTTTATTTATTTTTTATGTTGCATGGATGCCTCCCATTACTAATTTGTTCTAAATTTTCTACTAAGACAAGTAAATATTCTCTTCGCAATTATGACTGTAAACATTTATCTTGAATAAAAAATAATGTGACCTTTTTAAGTATAAGAGTAGTTTTAGACATTTCAATCCATTACATTGTGATATTAACCGATGAATAGACAACCTTGCTCACGTCTTTGTTAACTTAATCAGCTCTATCTATTTTTTGTTCACTGGGGGGGGGGGGGGGGCGCTGGGTTCAAATGGTAAGTCTCATAGTTTTCTCGATAATTTTCATTTGTTTTGTCAATTATATGTCATTAGTTGTTTGTTTAATAATGCACATGGGCTCCCTGAAAAGTGGTCTATTTTGCCGGGCTGATTGTGAGCCTGATTTTACAGTGTTTATATACATACATGACAAAATAATAGTTAACCGATTCTTTAAAGATATTACTCCTTGCTTCG